CTTTCAATGTTTAAAACCTCTGCCACCACCCCCAACATGCACACTCACAGCCCAGGAGACTCTAAGACAAATTTTTCTCTCCTCCCCAAGTTGAGATCAGTCACTGCTCCTGATGAAGGCAGTTCCCACCCTGAATAGAAAGATGCATTCTCCCTTATAAGCAGATTCTTTGATATAGTGTCAAAGCCCTTGTAAAAGACAGAAATGTCTGCAGGAGAATGTCTGGAATGGCTGTATCAGACTTTCTCGAGGACCCAGGACATCATGTTGATAAGAGAGGTCTGACAGCACGGCCACTGAGCTGCTATGTGACAATATCAGAAGAATGCAGGAGCTTTGCCAGAATGACATTGAAGACAAACCAAACAATGCCTATACACCGATTGCGTGAATTACAAAATAGATTGTTCCGGCACGTAGATTTGTTATCATCGAGTATTTATCAAATATTTCTCAGGTAGCTCTCATCAAGTGGCTTCATGTCATTTTCTTTTTTCCATCAGATTTAAGCTTACCCGCTTTTCACAAGCCCATCATCGTCCGTGTGTCTGATATACAAAGGGCACCAATTAAAAGCTGTATTGCCCTTGCTGGAATGGACCTTCAGGAACCAGTATTCTTAGAGATTCGCCTCTATGACCTGCTCCAGCACATTGCAGGCATTCTTTTATCCTTGATTTTAATGTGGGAGTACTATTGCTAGTTTACCAGAAAAACAAAAATAATTAAATGAGGCCACCAGCATTATTGTCAGCCAACAGGAAACTTCTGTGTCCCACTTCGTTAGTTTAGCTCGGAGTCACTATGTACACAATATTCAGGAAGGAGGGAGGGTGACCCCCAGGAAATGTAATGCACTGGGTCTAACCCCAACCCTTTTCGATTTCAGAGTAGGCTAAGTGACGTGGTAAAAAGAACAGAGAAGAACACTGTAGTCAGGGGAGAAACATTCAGGCCCGGGGTCTAGTCTGCATTCAGGGAATGACTGCGGGCGTCTGACTTAATGCTTCCATTTAGTCTGTGAAATACGGTAATAACAACGACAACCTCACATATAATAAAAAGTGGTTAAAAATGAGAATGTTTTAAATATAATTTCACCTTTTTACCAGAAATTCTACTCTATTCATAGGCAGCGAGTCACAAGAGATTCTCACCCAGTTTCCTAGGGCCATGGGTGTGGATACTGGCTCAGCATCATTTGGGATGGGGTGTGAGTGTTAGTCCCTCAGACAGGGCCTGGTGGTTGGAAGCAAGGGACCAGATGTGCACACAGCAACGTGGATGGATCTTAAAGTATAGCCTAAGCAAAAGAACACTTAAAAATAGATGGAAATATATAACAGGGTATCATTTGTATAAATTAAATATACAGAGACGGGAGGGGCGGGGGAGGAGGGAGGGTATTGGCGGCGGCCTCACCTAATGTGCATGATGCAATGGTACATTGCAAAACTATTAAGAAAATGGTAAAATGGTGATGGATGTGTTAATCGGTTCAATGTAAGCATCTCACATTGTCTACCAAATCAGTACCCTGAACCCCATAAATGCACCAATGCTCACAGTTATGGTTTAATAAAGACAAAAATAAATTAACAAATAAATTAAACATATAAAAAACAATATACATACTTTTTGCAAGAACACATGCAGACGAGTAGATACACATTTAATACCTTAGAAGGACTGACCACCTGTGGGAAATAAAATAGAAATAAAGTTTTTTAAAAGAGGGCCTTGCTTTGACCAGTGATGATAAAGTGCCGTGAACTGAAGCACTAACTCAATTCTCAGCCTCTGACGTCCAGAGAAAGAAAAACAATTATTATATAAATGATATTTGTTAAGAAGATAATTGTCGTCACCTCCTCCAGACTCTGTCTCTCTTTTTTTTTTTGGAGACAGAGCCTCAAGCTATCCACCTGGGTAGAGTGCCGTGGCATTACAGCTCACAGCAACCTCCAACTCCTGGGCTCAAGTGAGTCTCCTGCCTCCGCCTCCCAAGTAGCTGGGACCACAGGCGCCCGCCACAACTCCCAGCTATTTTTTGGTTGCAGCCGTCATTGTTGTTTGACGGGTCTGGGCTGGGGATTCGAACCCGCCACCTTAGGTGTACGTGGCTGGCGCCTTAGCCAGTTGAGCTATAGGCGCCGAGCCTCTGTCTCTCTTTCAATGCTTCCCCTGATCCTTATTCAATGGTCATATTTCCTCCATTAGAGAAAATGATGTAAATAACTCATTTACATTCAGTTTTTGAATGCCACTGTCTTATTCACTGTAACACCATTTTTTATTATTAGATAAGAAGAAATGCTTAAAATAAAAGGCTTGTTCATGGTGCAATTTAAGGCCATGGCACCTGGGTAAACTATTTGAGAGAATGGAGGGTATTCCATCGGAGCCAGGACCAAGATGCCCAAGGTTCTCAGAGGTCAATGACTGGAGATTGAAAGCTTGGATAGGCTGCCATCAAATTAAGGAACGAATATCACAAGGGGATGTCTAGTCTCTTTATCTCTTTGAATTTGGCTCCAATTAAAAGTCAGATCCAAGCGACCCCCCCCACTACACACATGGATTATTTGCTATGTCTATTTTAACCCTTTGAGACTTTGTGAGAGGAACAGTGGAAGGAGAGATGAGATTGAGTTAGAAGACTTGAATAACCAGGATTTGGAGGCAACCAATAAAAGATTGATTCAGGTAAAACACAGCTTGCCCGAGGCACTGTCCAGTAAAGTCTCTCCCACCAGGCCCCGTCACCCTGCCTAGTCATCTGATTTCCCTCCACCAAGGACGTTAAGGAGTTACCGGGAGAGGCCTTCTTTTATGTATTAACAAAAGGGCAGGTGTTTGTAGGTGTACTGCGGAGGAGGTGCCTGACGTTTCTTATTCTGTGGATTATGTTTAACTCGTCACCTTGTCATCTTTCCTTTGTGTTTCTTATATTCCCCCCTTTAACATTTTCACCTTGCTCTACTGACTTCTTTGTTCCCCCAACATGTTAAGGGTCATCAAGCCCTCATAGCCATTGTCAGGGCACTGTCATTTTGTCAGGAAAATCATTCACTGCAATCGTCCCCTTCTACCTGGTAACTTCTCTGTGAAGTTTGAAGCATTGCAGACTCTCTTCCTGTTGTTAGCTCAAGCTGGATCACTTGATCTTCTAGGGCAAGGAAGGAACACAGTATCTGGCCTGCCCGCCAGAGGTTTATCTTCCCAAAATAATTTATAATAAGAGCATTGGCTCCACGCCAGTGGCTCAAGCTAAGGTGCCAGCCACATACACCAGAGCAGGCAGGTTCGAATCCAGCCTGGGCCCTCCAAACAGCAATGATGGCTGCAACCAAAAAATAGCTGGGTGTTGTGGTGGGTGCCTGTAGTCCCGGCTACTTGGGAGGCAGAGGCAGGAGACTCACTTGAGCCCAGGAGTTGGAGGTTGCTGTGAACTGTGATGCCACAGCACTCTACCCAGGGTGACAGCTTGAGGCTCTGTCTCCAATAAAAAAGAGCATTAACAACTAATAGCATCACTATCTCCAATTCTCTCTCTCTCTCTCCTTGATTTTGGAGCATTTCTGTAGGAATTATGTGGCTAATATGCTCTGTTACTTCCACAAAAGATCTTTCTTTCTTTTGAGTACTTGGTTGCTCAAAAAGCAAACAATTTTAAAAACACCATCCTGTCTGGAATACTGCATCAAGTGGTTGATAATTACAGTCATCTGTGGGAGTTTCAGTTCTGTTACCATGTCCAAGTAAGAATAAAATTCAGCCTAAATCATTTGCCTGGATTTCCCATGGCTCAATATTGTAGGGCACTGGAAAAATTCGTCTTAGACACAGAGAAATGTGTTGGCTGGGCTGGGTGCTGCCAGTTGCTCCAACCAGTCACAAGCCAGCCTTAGAAATTAAAGGCATAGGATGTTTTCTCTTTGGGTTTCCAAGGAAATAAATACCACTGAGATTTATGGGGCCAAAGGGAGGCATTGGGTGATAAATGATATTGCAAAATAAGAGCAGCTGTTAGTTACTATATAACAGTGGTTCTCAACCTTCCTAATGCCTTTAATACAGTTACAAGTTGCGACCCACAGGTTGAGAACTGCTGCAATACAGCCTTCTCTTGTCACCTCTAGGAACAATTGAGACAGTTTACCTCAATTACTCTTCCACTCTGGTGTATGGGCCAAAAATGTACAAGCCTCTTTTAAAAACCCTGTGGTTCAAAGTATAATCTTAAATGGCCCCTTCCCCTAAGATAGATTGGTTGGAAAAGAACTGTGCTGAATAAATCCCCAGAAAAGTTAAACAACATACCCAAAAAACATCAGTGGTTTGTTTTTAAATCATTGTCTTCATATTACTTTAATAATATCTTACAATAAAATTAAAAATCTACGTTAACAGTATTACTAGAGCTTATGTGATAGCAAATATGTGCATAGCTTCTGCCACCAACCTTGATGCCACCGCACATGTGATGGAGAAGACGACGGAGGTGAGCACTAAAGTGAGAATTGAAAGGTCCATTTGGAAGGCAGTGGTGCTGCAGTCCGTGGAGACGACTGAGGGAGGACCAGAGGGGGAGAAAGAGGCATGAGACAGGGGTTGAAGAAGGCTGCAAAACATGGCTGAGAAGCAGGTGGAGACACGTGTGGTCTTTTCTCTGCCTCAGAATCCTGTTGGCCATGTTGCCCTTGCAGGGCAGAAAAACCACCAGGCCAATGCACCACTGGCCAGAAACGACAGGGAAACAACAGGCTGCGGCCAGGGCTCAGCTGGGGGAGAAGCAGGTACCACGGATGCAAAGCAGAGCAGCTGCCCTGAGAGTTCCCCTCCCCCGCCTCCTTCCACATGCCGAGGTCACGGTGGTTTTGTAATGTGTCAACTTGGCTAGGATGAACTATGCTTCCAAGAATTCCCATCCTTGTATTTCCCGTTAAAGTTAAAGACTTTTTTTTGTGCAATATTGGAGAGTGGCAGTGAAGCAGCATTCAGATGGTGTTTTTACACTCAAAGCAGCAGGGCTTTATAACCAGGAACTCCTGAGACTCACGTCCTACGTAGCTTTGCTGGCTTATTTCACAGGTAGGCAACTTGCCCTGCGACCTCTTTCACCTTTTCTGTCTCAGAGACCAAATGTGTTTAGCTCCATGACAATGGGTTCCAGCTTTTTACTGGCACGAGTGCCAGTCCATCATTATGGGTTGCAGCTCAGGCTCATTACGTGTTCCAGTTTGTCCTGGCTGTCCATGACTTTGCACCCACCTTTCCTTTCTGACTGCCTTCCCTGCAGACTTCGATCTATAGCACCAGACAGAAATACAACAGCCTGGCAAAGACTGGTAACGAGCTCCTTCCACTAGGTAGGTCTGAATCCCCTAATAAATCTCTTAATATATTAAAAAAAAAGATGAATTTCCTTCTAGTGATTCTATTTCAACTGAAATAATGATCTAGACTATTATAAGCAAAGGGAAACATTGTAGAAAGAATAGTCCCTCAGGTGATTGCATGACAATATTTGCTGGAGAACAGGCCAACTCTTTGGGGAAAGGGAATCGCAAAGAGGTGAGGGAAGAGTTGGCTTCCTTCCTGCAGTGACCTCCCTCTCCCACCTCTGTTCCTTAAACTTACCCAAAAGGTCACAGTTAAAACCTGGATTTAACTCTTTTCTAAAAGTTAGTTTATACATTCAGGGGAGGATATGAGCTCACGAGCAAACTAATAAGGCATCTGATTTCTACACCAGCCTTAAAAAATAAACTGAAGAAGCTGTACCTGAAAAATCAGGCCCAAGAAACAAGAGAGACAAATGATTTAAAATGATCGATACCAGACTAAATATACGAAACAGCAGTTCTCAGGACATTGGAATCAAACAGAGAGTAACAGTGATCAGTGAGATGTGGAAAACAAACATGGTAGCCCTGAGATTTATAGTCATCTTCAAAAAGATGAGAGATACAAAGTCAGAACAAGCAGTTATATATATAACCAAGCAGAAACACTATAGCAAAGAAATGAAATTTGAAATGAAGAACTCAATACTTTGTGTGATGGAAGAATAGTTATAGTGGAAAAACAAATTAGTGAGCTGGACGATGAGAATGAAAAAGTCTCTATGAAGGCACTAGAGGGACATGAAGTTGTAGAAAATGTAAAAGAAAATTTAAGAGACCTGAAGGATAGAATTAGAGGAATTATTAATCCTATGGAATTCAAGGGAAAAGAAAGAACAATAAAAAGTAAGGGAAAATTTGAAGGAATAAAGACCAATAATGACCCAGAATTAGAGAAAGATGTAAGATCTTGGAATGGAAGAGCTCACAAAGTACAAAATAGCATAAATGAGAAAAAAACCTTTACTTATATATCCCGTAGGCCTCTTAGATTCTATGCCCCAAAGTCCAACTCATGAAAGAAAACACTGATAAATTAGACGGCATCAAAATTAAACTTGGGCTCTTTGAAAAGTGACTGTTAAGACAAAGAAAAGATGTACCCCAGATGGGGAGAAAAGATTTCAAATTATACACATACATCTGATAAGGGACGGGACTTCAGAATATAACCTACCCATGTCAAGTGTTGGAGAGGAAGCTACTGGAACTCGCACACTCTGCTAGTGGGAATGCAAAATAGTTCATGCTTTCGAAAACAGTTGGCTGTTTTTTAAGAAGCTAAACATACACATTTTATAATCCAGCAAGTCTACTCCTGCATATTTTATGGGGAGAGTGAAAGCATATGTCCTTGAACACTGATGTTTGAAGTGGCTTTATTTTTAATAACAAAGGTCTGGAAACAATCCAAATGTTCATCACCAGACAAATGAATAAACAAATTGTGGTGTAGTCATACAATGGGGTGCCATTCAGCAATAAACAAGGAGTGAACTATCGATAGATACATCATAAAGCTACCACTGAAAAAAGGAGCAAGTGACTGTCTGGGGCCGTATCCAAGGAGAGGAAGATTAGACCTACCTCTTGCTGGACAAGTGCAAAGAATTTGTGCACATGTATGTGAAAAAAAGCATGGTCTAGGAAACTTAATAAAACATATTGCCATCTTTAAAAAATCCAAAACAAACAAAAAAAGAGAAAACAAAAAAAAATTTCATGTATCTCAAAAATATTTATATAAATCTAGAACTAAAATGCTAGAAAGTTAACAAAAGAGTGGAGATGGAAAACAGAAAAGATATTTTTTTAAAGAAATAAAAATGTGGTAAGTTACTTATCTACTTGCATAGAGGGGAAATAGTAATATTCTATCAATTAACATACTGATGGAAAAAATAAGTAAGTTACATAAAGAACAAAAATAGAATATGTAACTTTTAAATGGCTGGAATCTAATCTAATCTATCCAAACAAGGGAAGGAAATAATTTTAAGGAGAAGACATAGAATGAATTAGCAACAATAAGTTTTAATATAACAGCAATAATAATAATAGTAATATCAATAAGCTGAGTGATCAAAAGAGGGGTAGTGTTTCTGTTTGCAAAATCAAGGGCAGGAGTAGTCTAAAAAACCACACAACTATGAGAAATAAATAAATACTTAAAGAATTAAAAAATAAATATGAGCAAAACACAATGTAAATTTTAATATCAAAATACAAGTCAAAATGAAAACATCATAAAAGCTAAAGAAAGATGTCCTATAATGCTGAGAAAATGAACAATAGTTCAAGAAGCCACAACTGGTAGTTAGAAATATTAACACACCTCTTTGATAAAGTAATCTATGAAGCAAATTTCGCAAAGCTACAGAATGTGATTTCAACGCATTAAACATAAAAACTTTTTTTTTTATTAAATCATAAAGAGGTAAATCATGTATATATTAATGCACTTATAGGGTTCAATGTGCTGATTTCATATACAATTTGGAATGCTTACATCATACTGGTTAATATATCTGTCACCTCATTTACTTAATTATTGTGTTAAGACATTTATACTTTATACTTAATAGATCCAATATGTACCCTTGCAATATGCACCATAGGGGCGGCACCTGTGGCTCAGTGGATAGGGCGCCTGCCCCATATACCAAGGGTGGTGGGTTTGAACCCAGTCCCGGCCAAACTGCAACAAAAAAATAGCCAGACGTTGTGGCAGGCACCTGTAGTCCTAGCTACTTGGGAGGCTGCGGCAAGAGAATTGCCTAAGCCCAGGAGTTGGAGGTTGCTGTGAGCTGTGATGCCACAGCCCTCTACCAAGAATGATAAAGTGAGACACTGCTCCAAAAAAAACCTTTTAAATACTTATTTACAAAATTCCACAATTTCTTGAGATTCAAAATTCACTTGCTGTGATGGAAAGAGTATGGGATTTGATATCAGCAGATGTGGTTTGCGCGTCTTATCTCTACTCACTAGCTTTGCTCCTTGTAAGACGTCACTGATCTTTGAATGTCAATAGCCTCCTCTCTACCATGATATATATAACATCTGGTTGACCGATTATGCGACTTAAAATTTGCTCTTCTGATTGCTTACAATTTCTCAAATAGATAGGTCAAAATAACTGCTCTGTCAAATTCACCAGGTGAGGAAGCTTCAAAAAAGAGAATGGATGTTAAAGACTTTGGCAAATGTCAGCATTCCGAATGCTATTATATATATCAATATACCAGCAATCTGCTCATTGTTTACCTGTAGTGTTGTAAAACTTACAGCACCAAGATACAGCACCTTTAGCAGGTGAACGGATAAATAAGCTATGGTACCTCAGTCAACAGATATTATTCAACCTTAAAAAGGAATGAGCTATCAACCTATGAAAAGACATGGAGGAAACTTAATTAGTGTTGGACTCACGTCAGTGTGTGAAAGAAGTCCATGTACTGATTCTAACTGTAGGACATTCTGGAAAAGGCGAAGGAGTGCAGACAGCAAAATGATCAAGGGTTGCCAAGGGTTGGGGGGTAGGAGGGATAGACAGGCAGAACCAAGAGAATTTTTTAAGACAGTGAAAATATTCTGTATGTTACAATGGTAGGTACACGTCATGATGTTTGTCTCCAAACCCAAAGAATGCACATTAAGGATAAACCTTAATGTAAACTGTGGATTTGGGGTGATAATGGTGTGTCAGTGTAGGTTCATCGACTGGCACCAACACACCACTTTGTGGGGGGACTGTTGATAACAGGAAAGGCTATGCATGTGTGTGGTTTATGGGCTATCTCTGCTCCTTCCTCTTAATTTTGCGATGAACTTAAAACTGCTCTAAAAAGTGGGCTTTCAAAAGAAAGCCCATTGCAGTTTGATAGTACTATCATGTATGTATGCTGAATACATATTTCCCATGACTTTCCCACCACCTGAAAAGTTATGTATTGATATTTCCACTTTGAAGACTATGATGCGAGGGGCGGCTCCTGTGGCTCAAAGAGTAGGGCGCTGGCCCTGTATACTGGGGGTGGCGGGTTCAAGCCTGGCCCCAGCCAAAAACTGTAAAAAGAGGAAAAAATGACTATGATGCTATAGTTCTCAGAGGCCAAGAAAATTTACCAGGATTGCTAAAAAATTGCTGAGCTACTGTCTCACTCACGTCTGCCTGAAACTGCTATTAAAATACAACACTTTATTTGCCCAGCAAAATTTATGGCATAAACATTCTAACCAAATAGGGAATAGATACAGTGAAAAGAGTTAAAACCAGGAAAGGAAATGGCCCCTTAGTCCTTAAGGAGCCGTGAAGGGTGTAAGGAAGTAATCAGAGAAACAGCCAGTTTTCATCGCCCCTCAGAGCCAGAGAGAAACTGCAGAGTCATAAACTCAAGCAGATGTCTGGCTCCCTGAATCTCCGGCCAATGGTAGCCAAGGATGGCACAGAAAGCCCTTGTCCTGTCGGCCACTCGGCACTACGCTCTATTTCAGAAGAAATGTGTACAGATGTGTATTTTTTTCTCCATCACATGGAGTCTTCTAAGAAACCAGCTGCTGAAACAAAAGAACAGCTTTTCTTAGCAGGGGTGAAACCAGCTGAAGCCCCTGGGCTCTGTTCTTCTTGGGTTTAGAGAGAGCCTCCAGGAGGCTGCTGCCTCTCTCTGCAGGAAGAGCCATCCATCCATGCAGTGGGGACAACACCATACAGAAGAGTCTCAGTGGTGCGGTTGCTTTAAAGATACCCAAGACATAGCCAAGGACTTTCTCTCAGCCTTACTGAAAGGCAAGACTTACTAACATTGTGGAGAAGCCACTGTCGCCCCCCATCCCATATTTCAGAATCTTCTTGCTGGGAAAGTCCCATTTCCCCTTCCCTTTGCTGGCCAGCTCTCTCCAGCTTCCTCATTTACACCTCAGGGTGAAAACAAAAGGGGCACTTGTCCCTGAAGCTTCATCGCTTACGTTGATTGAGATGCCCCCCCTCCTCCAGGCAGTTATGGGGAGGAGAAGGTTCAGGCGGAAGAAGGTGCAGGTCCTTCCCAGACCGATGAAGCCTCCGGGCCAACCCCCTTGTTCCCAGAGCTGCAGGACAACAGAGTGGGCAAGTCCCCTTTCGCTTGCCAGCTGTGTGCTCCAAATAGCACCATTTATTGGCTGAGAATTTTAAGGAAGGAAATTTTGTGGTTACCTTGTCAATGCTAAAAAAAAAAAAAAAAAAAAAAACCCATTGGGGAAGGTGATCTGTTTGGGCACAGGAGGAAATTAAAATCTCTTCCCAGTGAAACGTACAGCTGTGCCACTTTTAGACCAGACATAATTGAACCAGAATCAGGAGGAAAACAAACACAAATTATGAGATTTTATGATTAAATAACACATTCTTTTATTTTTTTTTCTCTTTTTTTATTTAGAAAGATTGAGGGTGTTCCAATGTTTCTGTTACATAGCTATCTCTTACAATGCCTGAGTCAGGGCTATGAGTGTGAAGAATGTTCATGGGACCTGTAAATGACACATTAGAGTCGTAGACCGTTCAGCAGAAGGTAAGACTTGAGAACAGAAATGTCAGTAGAAGTTTCCTACCTCATGGATTTCTCAAGAACAGAAAGCACGATAGAGGTGGGATGGGGAAAGGGAGTATTAACATTCTTTCTTTTCTACCCGCTCACCTGTAGCTCTGAGGGCAGAGATTGTGTATTGTTCACTTTTGTATAATCAGCATTGGCTATGCAAGGGTCCATGTGCAGCGCAAAGCTTAACAGTTAAAACGTGGCTGTCAACTGCCGTCTACTAATACGGTCGCTACAGAGAGCTCCCCATGAGAATTCCAAAGCTGGGGGACTGGGACGCTGCCGCCATCCATTAGCACTGTCTTTCATGGGGTAGGGGGTGAGGAGACCCAGGGCCCAAGTACCCTGCTCCCTTTTCGGTGAGTAGTGACAAAATGAATTTGCCTTTGGTAGGGAAGAAGGTGTAGGACATTCTAGCAATGGAAGAATTTATGTTCAAGGGACATCTCTGAGAAATAGAGAACCATTTGACCACGCTAGCTCAATGTCTGACCACTTCCACAAAGAAAAAAGCAAACTCACACACACACGGGGGCGGGGGGGAGAGAGAGAGAGAGAGAGAGAGACTCCTTAAGCAAGGAAGTCAAGATTTCTTTTCAGCCATTGGCCACAGGACCATATCCATGTGTTGTCTGGCAGGTGTTTGAAAATGGCTGTAAGGCCAGAGCTAGCTAGCACCGGAACCCAAAGCTACGTTTGGCTTTATTCATAGCTATCTTCTTTTGGTTATAAATCCACAATAAGGCCATTGTTTCGCAGTGAGAATTTAGCAAGACTAAACTCGGGTTTCTCAAAATTATGTTATTCATTGCATTCACCTCCGATCCCAAGGGCTGATTAAGCCAAGCCCACTAGTCTGACACTTGAACGAAGGCTGTTGATGAAGGACAGCAGTGGCAGCAGGGGATAAGGCACCACGCACAAGTGTGCTGGCCAACAGTTGTTTAAAAAGAACTATTTTGGCTACAAACTTTAGACCCATAAATTTCAAGTCAGCCTGATCTCTGGGCCATGTTTTGAAGGGCAAAGAGATTTCCTAGACAGAATAATTTGCTTTATTCTTCCTCTAACTTCATTCCAATTGCAGAGTAAACTCATCATAAGACACTTGATTTCTTTTTCCTAACAAAAGGGTGATTTATTGCACCCAAGTGAAGGGGATTCAGGAAGAGGAAAAGATAAATGGGCATTCCTCTGTCCAAAGGAGACATTCAAGCTATTGAGTTTAGCACACAGGATGGGCCTGTTCCCCATCCTCTACACATTGCAGTCAGGGTTCAGTAGGGAGGATGCCAATGGTCTCCATGGGCATTAGGCCTAAAGCAAAAAGCAGCTTCCAAGTACTCACAGTGTAACAGGAATACAGACTTTCCTTTAAAATGACATCATAGGAACTATCCTTATACTGTCATAGGGCCCTGACTTAAGGCTGGAAAAATTTTTCTGCCTCTTAAGCTTATGATTAGGGATGGTGTCACCACAGCTTGCTCGCTGAATGGTTTTTTCTCTCCCACTCACTTCCTTGTGGCTAGGGAGACAAATTCATATGAAGAATATCTACCCTAGGAGATAGGTTTTAAAGGCAGGGCTAACATGATCATAGCTATAATCTAGAGAGATCACTCAGACAGAAGTGAAGAGGATAAATGGTAGAATGATCATTTGGAATGAAATCAAATAGCAAGAAAAGTTGGTGGGCTCAGGGCCAGACTAAGATATATAGGGAACTTGAGGAGGCTGACTATTGGCCTCCCCTACAGACTGATATTTTCTCCATATGTGTTCAACATTTGTTTAAAGAAGAGTCTGGGTGCTACACCCCTCGCAGCAAAATCAGAACCCTGCATTACCCTAAACCTACCGCTTCCTAAAGTGGTCAGTGACCTCCCACTGTTACAGAGCAGGCCCCATGAAGGTCCAGCCCTTGGCCTAAGTCTTTTTACGGTACTTCTTTCAACCCATTGGTATCCTCTGGAAGGGAGATTGGTCCACACAAAGTTTCCAATGGCCCAGAAGCACCCTTCACACATGAGTGTCTCAGGGATGAGAGCCTGCTCCTTGGTCTGCCTCTGCTTGAACTGTGTAAACCATGGCAGAAAATTCAGGTAGGAGGGAATGGATCCAGGCCCTGTTAAAGAGGTACAGTCTGGATGACTTGGTGGTTAAACAGGAGGAGAGGTAGCAGAGAAAAGCAAAGTCGGGAATGAACACTGGGAAAGATGAATTGAAAAGGTAGGAGAAGAAACTTTGAATAAATGGATCTTGGAAATGATATATAGACAGGGTTGACTAATAGCTCCCAAATCTCTCGCTCATGCAATACCCAGCGTAATTCCTAGTAGAGAGGGCCTCTTGAAGGGCTCTCCCTAGAGACCCAGAGTGCTTCCACCTCCGGCTCTGCCATCTCACAGTTCCAACATTGCCCTGGTGTCGGCCTCCCAGCAAGTGTTGAATGTCATGCAACATTCTGTGAGTAAGAGCCAGTCATGGGGTCCACCCAGACATGAGAGGGACTGAAAGCGAGTCCCCGTCTAGGCACTGCTGTGCAGCAACTCTACACCGACTTTGCCACAGAGTCAGGGAGAAGGAAAAGCCTGAACACGTGAGTGTCTGATACATTTAAAATGTTTCATTTAACAAGTGAATAGATAAAATGAATTATAGACATAATTGAAAATATTGTCCAGTCTTAAAAAGGAAGGACACTCTGACTCATACTGAAACTTAATGAACCTTGAGGACATGACGCTAAATGAGACAAGCCAGTCACGAGGAGACAAGCACCGCAGGATTCCACGCACATGGGGGGCCTGAGTAGCCAGATTCACCGAGACAGGAAGCAGGACCGTGGTCACCAGGGGCCAGGGAGCGGGCAGGGAGTTAGTGTCTAACAGGTACAGAGTTTCAGTCGGGGAAGATGACAAAGTCCTGGAGATGGATGGTGGCAATGGTTCCACAACGGTGAATGTACTTAACGCTACAGAACGATACCCTTTAAAATGAGACAGTAAATTTTATGTGTATTTACCATAATTTTTAAAAAATTTTTATAAAGATGCTTAGCTCTGCATAGTAATATCTAATACTTAACAGCCATAAATCCTTTCTGGATAAAGTCACACATAAATAGGTAACACCTAACTTTATAGAGATATATATACACATATAGAAATAATATATACATAGGTAACACTTATACATAAATAGGTAACAACTTTTTATATGTATAAATACATAAATAGGTAACATCTAACTTTATATATATAAACATATATAATATATATAGGTAACACCTATACATAAATAGGTAACACCTAACATTATTCATATATATATATACATTTATATAATATACACATAAGTAACGCCTATATATAAATAGGTAACACCTAACCTTTTATATATACACACACAGACACATATACACACACGTGTATATATATATATAAAAGCTACTTTAGTTGAATGAAAAGCCACAGAATAACGTGTCTCTAACTTGACTTGTAACTCTCGTGGAGTCTGAATCCCACAGGTTTTCGGGTCTAAGTGAAAACAAAAATTGATTGTTTCTTTAAGGTTTTGCCTGTTCCCTTCCAGGAAAAAAACAAACAAGTGGATCAGCACATTAGTGGAAGAGAAGCCTAAAAGTAAACCATAATATGACACCTCTTTTCTCACGGGCATGACATAGACTTACACACATTGTCACTAAAGAAGCTAACAGTCATCCCCTCCACGCGCTGTGATCCCCACAGGTAGGGGCTTTCTCCTGCACGCTCGTCTTCTGTTTGCAAAACGTGGTCGGCTCATATGTGGATTTCCTTTCCAATCCAGTAGTCTCACAGGTAGATGGTTCTTAGGCTTTGAGACTGTTCGTTTTGTTAACACTGGGAAAAACCTTCCCGTGTGTACACAAGAGTGGATTTCTGAGCTACATCTTTACTCCAAAGATTTCTTTCTTTATTTTTTTAATTCACCCACATTGGATGCCTTCTAACCTGAGGCTACTCGGTCCTTCTGGAGGCTTAATTGTCTCCATAAATTAACTCTTTTCAGAGAAACAGAGGCTAAATCTCTTGGCAAGGAACATGCCACATAAACAACTTCTTCAGTGATTTTAACCTTCCTAACAAATATTTCTGTCACAGAGGGCACAGAGGAAGTGACAGGATGTCCAAGTAAAACATGCAACACTGGCAAAAAACACATTTGTGAAACGGATCCCCCCAAATCCTGACAAGCATAATATTTGCCTTCTCTTTTTTTTCCCCCTCCATTCCTCTAACCCTTTTGTTTTGGTTTCCTTATTTGTCTGTCCTTCCTGTGTGTGTGTGTGTGTCTGTCTGTCCTTTAGCCACCTCAACAGCATCTTTTCAGAAGTTATTAGGCAAAAGGGAACACGAACCCAAGGCTCATCTTCTGAGAACAAAACTGCTTGGTACCAAGTAAGCATTTAATAACCTTTTTAACACAGGCAAAGCTGAAGATCACCAAGGCAGCCAGCCCAGTACTAACGGAGACATTAGCTGGTTCTTCAGCACAGCCCTGTTTTCCGGAGCCTTCAATGGGCCAGATTTATAAACCTTCAGGGAGGAGCCCAAACTGAGTAATTCATTTTTATTGTCCTTTGACATATGAAAACACATTGATAAATACAATAGGGCTCTCTGTCGTATACACCTCTCTAAACATGAAGGTTTATACAATTAAAACGTCTCAGATTTAATCACGCCTTTTTCTTTCATTGTTTGTCGTATATGAGTTGTACCTTATATCCCCCAAACTGACTTACAGTCCTCAAGTATCAGAACCATGTTTCATCACTTGTCTGTGCACCTCGCCAAGCACGTGGTAGTTGCTTTTTAATTGCCTGTGTCCCATCCTTGCCTGAGTCAACTACTTTGAATTCTTACAGCCATTTCTCCCGGTCTGTCTTTCCTATTATTTTCCAACATGTGTATTATTTCTTGATTTAGCAAATGTACGTTCTCCCTTTTGACCCTTTGTATTAATAGAGGATTTAACACCCTTATACTCAACTCACCCCTTCCCACAGCCCAGTAAAGTAATACAATTTATGGTAAAAGGAATCATCAGCGGTTATACTGTCCTAATGATGTCGGTATTACGGCATTCTCTACCGAACCAAATGATATGCAAGAACTACATTTTCCTTCTGCTTTCTGTTTTCATTTCCAAAGTTGTCTATGTGACTAATTACTCCGTCACATCATCACATGTAATATTTCTGTTATTTTTTAAGAGCCCTTTTTGGTTTCCCTCCGAGGTCTCCTCAGCATGTCTGCATCCTGCTGCACAATTGTGGTTCTGGAACTTCCTTCCCTGAGCTGCTATCCCTTAGCTCACTGTTTCCCCAGCCTTGTCTTCCTCTTTTTTGGTTTATCCATCCCCCAAAAGCCTTCTGTGTCAGAATGCCTATGAGTTACATTTTTTGAGCTCTTGTACATGTAAAAATCGATTGTGTTCCCACACTCATGACTTGAGTATGCACGAGCCAATGAGTGGGAAAAGGACATAGCACGTGCAAAGGCCCAGAGGCACGAGAGTTTGACACATTCATGGAACTGCAAAAGAAAAGAGCCACAGCTTGTGTTAACCAGGCAAACCACTGATCTGGAGCATTGTTTTCATAAGAAGACAACTTAAAATGAGAAGCAAAGAAGTAGCTGCAGCCAAGTATTAATTCAATAAATTACAAAAGCTGAGAATCATCTAGAAAGACACAGAATAGTCTCATCAATATAGTTGTCCGGAGTTAGAGTACTGTTCATGATTTTAGATTTTAAATTTTGTATTTTAAAGTTCTAATAGCAGCAAGATGCCATGAGGAAACAGATTCAGAATAACATTTGCCAGCTGCCTTCTAGCAATTTCTCCTATTTCTATGTAAGATCGTTGTGGCTATCATTAAGTCATATGGTCTAATCTTTTCCAATCTTGACTATGCTTCAGAATTACCAGGGAGAGCTTTAAAAAAAATTGAGTTCCCGGTCTCACCCCAGATCTCAGTGAGAAGCTCATTTAGTTGGAGTTTGGGGGTAGGAATAGGAGGCTAAGTGGGAAAGGAACTGAGACGTTGATGGGATTTCCCATGAATGGAAGCCCATCTCTCTACACAGCCTCAGAGTCCTACTACCCACCTGTTCAGTGGGCAAAGAATATGATTTGCCCACCCCTGTATCCCAATATCCAGAACTTTCTGGCTAATGGTACACACTCAACAAACTTATGTTGAATGAAAGACATTGATACTCTACACCGTTAACTATAAACACCATATCCTGCCACCACTACCTAGCCTACAAGATGCTTGGGGATCTGAACAATATCCTTTGTATCAGCATACCTAAGTAAAGTACAAACAGTATGAATGTATGGAACAGTAAGTATGTTAAGGAAGTTATTGAAATATAGAAGAAATATGGTATATAAGCTCATTTCAGTTTTAACTGTGTTCTTTCTGATATCAAAGGCACAAGCCAAGGCATATTGTGTTTTTGTTTCCTTAAAAAAAAAAAAGTAGGCGGCGCCTGTGGCTCAAGTGGCTAAGGCGCCAGCCATGTACACCCAAGGTGGCGGATTCAAATCCACCCCGGGCCCGCCAAACAACAATGACTGCTGCAACCAAAAAATAGCCGGGCGTTGTGGTGGGCGCCTGTGGTCCCAGCTACTTGGGAGGCTGAGGCAGGAGACTCGCTTGAGCCCAGGAGTTGGAGGTTGCTGTGAGCTGTGATGCCACGGCACTCTACCCAGGGGGACAGCTTGAGGGTCCTGTCTCAAAAAAAAAAAAGTAAGCAAAATAAAATTTCAAAAAGAGAATAAGAATCAGCCAAAGACTTCTGGGAGATTGCTCCATGCTTAAGCAGTGTCAAATTGGCCCTAGAAGTCCTATTAAAAGAAAAGTTTGCGATGTTTGTAGTACACAACTGTTAATTCCCAGGAGACAGCCTTTGTTGGATTTTTGACTAAATAGATCTTTATATAATGTGAATTGTATCTGGCTATTAATGTGTAAGGACCTGCCTAATGTCACCTTTAGCAAAGACATTGAAAGTCTTTTCATCCAGGAAGACAAGGCCTCACAGGGTAAGTTTGACCAATGAGATACATGTGTTTTTTAAAAAAAGTCAAATGATAATAATAACAAGCTTCAAAATAACTCATCCCAAAATGTAAAATTCAAAGACCAGAACTTTTAGGTTTTTTAAATCTAACAAATCTTGAAATATTTTATCTTGTGCATTATGTTCCCACACGATTTTTAGCATTTAAGTCTCATATGAGGACAAACTTTGTGAAATAATTTTCCAAATCTTCCTTTGGCAAAAAGTGGAAGTTATGTCAGAATATTCTGTGGTCATTTTCTTTCAACTTTTCAATTTTTTTGATTATTAAAAATTTTTATTTATAAAGTACACACGAGTATGGAAGAATAGAAAATAAAATCACTCATTAATACCTTGGCATATTTTTTACCATTTCTTTTTTAATTCTTTGCATAATTGAAATATAGTATATACATGTAGTATCTTGACTTTTTTCTACTGTTTTTGTGAATATATTTTAGACTTATTTCTGACTATTCTCTCATAATACATTCCTCCAAGAATAAATGAGATGTGAATACTTGAAGAATTTTAATTTATATTGTCAAACTGCTTTCCAAAAGTGTTGTGCCCATTTACCCACCAACATTTGATAAAGGTGCCCATTCTATTTCACTCTAATTAACACTGGATTTTTAAAATTATTCTTTGCTAATCTGAAAGAGAAAAATATAGTTTATTTTTTAATTTTATTTATTTATTTATTTATCTATTTTGAGACAGGGTCTCATGCTATTGCCCAGGCTGGAGTACAGTGGCACAATCATAGCTGACTGCAGCCTTGAACTCCTGTCCACAAGGATCCTCTTGCCTCACCCTCTGAAGTAGCTAAGACTACAGATCCATGCCACCACACCCAGCTGTGAGGCAGGGATCTTGCTATGTTGCCCAGGTTGCTCTTGAACTCATGACCTCAATCAATCCTCCCATCCTGGCCTCTCAAAGTTCTAAGATTACAGGCCTGAGCCACTGCACCCAGTCTCTTTTTTGTTTTAATTTGCATTTTTCTGAGTCCTAGTGAGGTTGTTTATATTTACTGGAGAGTTATTATGTGAATAGAACGTTCATGTTTGCCTCACTTATCTTCTAAGTTCTTACTGCTTTTCTTATCACTTTGTATTCATAATTAATACAGTAAGATTATAAACCTGTCTTTCGTATTTCTTACAGACACCACATTTTCTTGATTCTAAGTTGTACTAAACATAAAAGAAGCCATATCATTACTTTAATAAAAGTTTTTAAGGAAGAAAATAAAAGGAATACTATACTCATAAGATGTTGATCATAAGCCATGTTGATTTCAGGGATATTAAAATGCAAATAATGCTACAATATTAAAATGTGGAGAATTTAAAATGTAGAGCTGACTCTGAATAGCTACAGTATGGATTTATTATGGAGCCTCAGAATTGATTATCTCATGTGATGAAATAATAATGTGGCACAAACATAGCTCACTGCAGCCTTGAACTCCTGCCCACGAGGATCCTCTTGCTTCACCCTCTAAAGTGGCTAAGACTACAGGTCCATGCCACCACACCCAGCTATGAGGCAGGGATCTTGTTACTAGAGAGAGTAATATGAGCCAAAATCTAAAGGTGTACCCTGTTTGATGAAATATATAGATTTAAATATAGCTTATTAAATACTGAATCAGTGGCAGTTACCTGAAATTGGGTCTTTAGTTTCTGTAAGCCCTTTAGTTGATAAGTGCTACTTGACAATGCAGAAATTGATGGGCAAGAACTCTTTGTGTTAATGACACGTCTTGAGTTATGATGTGCTAGTTTATTCTGGTTATTGTCAGGAAATTTATACAGCTCTAGCTATCTATATCTACACCTATATATCTACATGTATATATCTGTCTACTCTGTGTGTGTGTGTGTGTGCGTGTGTGTGTAATGAGCCATTAACACTGAATGCTCAATATCTACAAAGGCTGCCACCACAGGGCCACTTTTACAGAACTCTTTTCAGATTCATTGTCTATCAAGAATCAGAGAAAGTCCTAGAAAATGTGGTGGGTGAATTATGAGGGTTTATTTACATGGAGAAATACAGGGTGTCCATAAAGTTTGTGTGCAATTTTAAATACTTTGTCTATTTTAAATTCTACATGAACTTATGGACACTCTGTATATGCACACACACACACGTGTGTATGTATGTGTGTGTGTACGTGTGTGTATATATATAACTCATTAGAGTGGCATAATCCAAATTGGGCTCTTCTTATTGGATTTTTAAAAAGTATGTCTTGCATCAAAATCCTGAACGTGATACTGTAATTATTCTTCCTCACTATTCACTAATCCAGGGATATGGTGTACCCTTCATAATAACGATAATTAACAGCTATCATTAACTGAGGGTCTTAAGGTGCTAATCACTTCTGGAGAATTTTATAAGGAAGGGTAGTTGGGGGAACAAATAGACTGATTTCAACTTGCTTGTTTATTAATGTCAACATTTGTAAAGCATCTTCTCTGTGCCAGATGCCATTCTGTGTGCTGCAGCCAGCAAGAAAGAAAAGATCCCTGGTCTCATGGTCCTTCCAACATGGTGGATTTGGGGTGAAGGACAGACTACAAACAAGTTTAAAATAATCAAGAAAATGTCCGGAATGTGATAAGCACCATGAAGAAAATGAAATATGGTCATGCAGCAATGATTAGTGGGGTGGCCAGGGAAGACCCACCTGAGGAAAAGTGTACTGATAGGGTGCCCAGGACTGTCCTCTCTTGAGTCCATTTTATAATAAAGCTTTCCTTCCACAACCACCAGACTGTGGTCTATATTAATTCAAGTCTCCTGGGCTATCATTAAAAGTTGGTTGGTGCCACTTGTCTGTAATGGAAGAGTTTGCATTTAGTTATAAATATTATCTGAAATGCAAGATAGCTGATTTTTAGCAATATAATTTAAAATGGCTACAGAGTATGTTATACCCAGGCAACCTATCTCCCTCCATGAAAACAATATATACCCCAGCTAGTCCCTTAAACTAAAGGTTCTCTGAGGCTCTTTTCCCAGAGCAGCCTCTGACTGGGGCCTGCCAGTGGAATAATTGTTTCTCTATGTCTGAATGAGCAAACCCTCGGACCCCAAAGCAAAGCTAACTCCAGTCTCTACCTCCTTGTGCTCCATCTCTTTCCTGGAATGATGAAAATGTGTTCACTCCCTCACTGGTCCATGGGCACGTTTTTCATCTTTGACTTTGGGTGATGTAGGCTTAGGGGCAATAATGCATCCTTTTTCTTTTTTTTTTTTTTTTTTTTTTTGGCTCATACCTGTGAATCTACATCATCTCAGTAAAGGTCATTCTATTTTAGTTGGGTTTTAAAACTTAGTTTTTAGTCAGCCAGGCTGACTCAGTCTCACTTCACCTTGACCTAAGCCCTATTGGACCTTGACTTTATTTAAAATTTTGATTATTTGCTCATTATGGATTTTTTGCACTAATTTTGATTTTCTTCAAAATATAATACTAAATATCATTTATCTTGAAGACTGAGACTTTTGTCACTCCCTTAAATTTTTCACCTGAGGCGAGTGCCTTACTTCTGCCTTGAATGATGTGTGGAACAAAGCACCCTGCTGGCCACCTTGAACATGAGAAATAAACGTTTGCTATGCTAAGCTACTGAGGGGTGAAAGTGCTTGTTACAGCAGCTGATGAGATTTATCCTGACTCATAAGACCTATTGGTTGCTCCTGGAATCTCACCCAGATTTTCCTTTATTTTGTAAAAACTTCTATTTCTTTATTATCCAAAATTTCTCTTACAAATAACTCAAGAGATGAAACACTAATTAGTTTCCATTGCCATTTTGAATCCATTAAAAACCTTACATATATGTGCCAATTTTGATGGCATACATATATCATTCTTGAGAGGCAATATAGCTAGGGATTATATGCATAGACCATGGGATCAGATATTCTGTATCTGAATATCAGTTTGCTAGAAACCTCTCTAAACTTTAATTTTTTCATCTGTGAAATGGGACATATAATAATACCTAGTGTCATGTGAGGAATAAATGAGATAAAGCTTAGCATATAGTAAGTGCACGATAATGGTTAGTAGTTATTGTTCTAATCTTCTTTGGAGTGGAAGCCATTTCTTAGCTCTCCCTTGCTGGTACTTGATATGCGTCTGAGTTGGGAGGATAATTATCAATCAGTAGTACCAGATTTCTTTTAACAGAAGCATTGATGTTAAACAGACATTTGAAGTATATAGAATTAAACAAGCTGTGCTATAAAGAAGCTTCTGGCAGTCTGAGTGGTGCTTGTGGCTCAGTGAGTGGGGTGCCGGCCCCATATACTGAGGGTGGCGGGTTCAAACCAGGCCCAAGCCAAAATGCAAAAAAAAATAGCCAGGCGTTGTGGAGGGTGCCTGTAGTCCCAGCTGCTTGGGAGGCTGAGGCAAGAGAATCGCCTAAAGTCCAGGAGCTGGAGGTTGCTGTGAGCTGTGATGCCACAGTACTCTACCAAGGGCAACAAAGTGAGACTCTGTCTCTAAAAAAAAAAAAAGAAAAAAAAAGCTTCCGGCAGTCCTGTTGCTGGAGAAGATGCTGGTATAGACAGCAGTCCTGGTTCAGGCAGGGTCACGGGAGCCTTTGGTAATCCTACATCCCAGAAGCTTAGGTACCACCAAGACCGGCTCCAGGAAGCCTGGGTCCCCACCCATAACGGGAGCCATCAGCAGGGGAATTATAAATAAGGATGGAATCTCCTCTTCCATTGGACTAAATTCAAAATATGCAGTCTCAGCCTGAATTAAGATATGTTTGCCAAAAAGAAATCAAGAAAAACAATAGATGTTGGAATTTTCTCTTGAAGTTGATTTCCCAAAGGAGCTTATTTTGTTCCTTTCTTGTTACCTGTTAGTGTCTCGATTCACAGAAAAGACTAATAACACCAGCAAAAACATTACAACACTGCTCAATGTCCTAATGACTATTTACAGGAAAGATTCGCCTTCGCCTGATGAAAGAAGATGAGACTGGATAAGAGAATTACTTTTTGTTTCAATTTACTGAAAATATTTGCTTCCTGGATTATAGACTGATAGAAGCCAAGCCAAGAGGGACCCGAGGAATCAAAATCACTTGGACACCAACTTCGTCTTCTTCTCTCTCTCTTTTTTTTTTTTTTTTTGTTTTGTGAATAAAATAACTAACCCCTTAAAAGGAAGAAGAAGCCACATCTTCTGCCTCTTGGTCTCATGCTTTTTCATCATGATTTTTTTGCCTGGCATTTGTTGGCCAGTATTTTTTAAAAGTCCTGCAATTATACAAAAACCCTCCAATGACAGTCATGCCATCCAAAGACTTTGTATCAGGACGTTGATACTATGACAACATTTGTAAGTTCCAGTTTCTCTTATACCTGAGATATTTGAAGTGGAAAGGATTAAGCTATAGTTTCAAAATCAATACAAATTTCTATTCAAAGGAGCGAGCAATACCTTCGAGCTGCTTAGGGCGAGGAGCCCAGCCACTCATCTGCTCTTGATATTTCCAGCCTTGGGCTTTCTCAGGCAAGATTTGTATTTCAGTAGAACATACAGGAAAGGAGAAGCAGGTTTGGATCATCTTTGAAGGCACTTGTCTTTAAGTGCCAGAAAACCCAGAAAAACTATGCTATGACTCTGCTTTACACATCAATCCAATGAGTACATGTATGTACAGATATGCCCCAGACTGCGTGAGAACTGGGGAATCCAAGGCTGTGTGTGCCAACAAGGACACGAACAGGCCGAGCATGGTAACCCACTCAGACCTGAGGAGCAGGGCAGGGCTGCGGGGATGGAGACTGGTTTTGCCTGGTGAGTAGTTATGGGTGGGCAAGATAGGAAGGGTGTTCCTGGCAGAGGAAACCATAAATTGTGAATGTCATTAATCGGAGATGGTGATTTGCAGGCTAAATTCTGAAGGATGAGTAAGACAGGGGAACAAGGTTGGAAATACAATTCTGGCAGAGGAAGCAAAGCAAATCATGAAAGGTTCATTCCAAATTTGATAAGCTACAGAAAGGCCAGGGGTCATGTGCGGCTCAACTTTGCAACAGTAACTGTAGCACAAAGCCTGACCAAGAGCAGGATACAGGCCATTACAAAGGTTTTGAGACACACAAAAATCAAGAAATGTAAAATCCACGAGGGCAGAAACAAATGAAGCCTTCCCGGCAACACGGATGAGCTGAGCAAGGTGAAACTTGCACGGATGAATCAAGAAGGACGCTGTTGACCATGTTCCTTGGAAGTGAAATAATGGAGCATAACATAGTCCGTCTCAAAACTTTTGTAGTGACTCATGTATGTGAAATGAATGGCAGGTGAAGAAATGAATAGACATGTGTGGGAATTGGGCACTCTGTCCCAAATAAGGTCTGGAAAGACTTATATCTCTCCAAGCCCCATTGAACTCTTCCATCAGGCCTCTGTGACCAAGGGTGACATTTGGCAGCAGCTGTTTGGCTGCCCAAGACACATCAATTAGAAGAGGAGGAAGGCACTGTTTTCCTAACTTTGGGCTCTTCTGGGAAATGGAGTAAAGCTTCAAACAGAGATAAAAATAAGCTGCAGGATAAATTAAGTTGTCTCATCATAAAAACCTGGACTGAGGGGTGTGGGTGGGAATGGTGAGCAAATTAAATTCCCCCTCACAGAGCAGACAGTCTTCCTCTGATACTCCTTTTTAAATTAAGGAAGTTTTGCAGTATCTGGACATTCAGCTGTCCCTCTAGCTACACAGCTGGCAGAGATCAAGAGCAAAGTGGCTAATGCTCCCCAGAGCCTCAGTCCCCAAAACCTTCTGCTTCTGGGGACTAAAAGTTGGGCTAACAAACCATGACTGTGAGGGCATCGGAGGAAGTAACTTTCATTATGTTGTTTAATTTTGAAATGTGAAAATAAGATGAACAAGTGGTCTTTTTTTCAAATGGGACAAAAGAGTAGTATCATCAAGTAATGTTGATAGTTGTTGAACTTAGGTGATGAGGAAATGAAAGGGAGATAATTATATTATTCTTTCTACCTGTGTATGTTTGAAGTTTTTCATAATAAAGTATTTTTTAAAAAATCTCCATCTTTCTTCATGGCCTGCAATGAATAGGCTGCAATTCCACTCTCCCGTTAGACATGATAACGATTTTTTCTGTACTCGTCCAAACATTCTCTATTTATAAGCACATATATGCATCTACAGACTCTATATCTCCTTTAAATAGTATTTAATAGTATATATTATTCCACATTCTGGGTTTTTTCATCGTTGCAGTGTGTTGAAGAGATTTTCCATAGCAGAATATATTCTTCCCTCTCATTCTTTTAATGGTTGTCTAGTATTCCATTAGAAGTGGATATTGGCACTGGTATTAATTTTTGTTTACATCTTTGCAAGTATAACAGGTGATAAAGTATTTCATTAACTATAAATGAGATTCAGCATTTTTGCCTAAGTTTATTGAGCATTCATATTTCTTTTCCTGTTAATTCCCCATTTGGGTCTTTTGCCCATTTCTCTTGTAGAGATTTCTTTTGATCTTTTTTCTTATCTTTTTATAACATCTTTCCAATCATAGGACAATTTTTCTCTTGTCTGATGTGCCCTGCAGATATTTTGGGAGCACTGTGCAGTGATGTGGTTGACCCTGAGCCTTGGGAGCCAGATGACTGGACACTGGTTACTACTTGGACACTTGTAACTTATGACAGGCAACATGGCCAGCCTACTCCAAACATCCATCCATTGAAATAAACTTTTGGTACAAA